CTAAATTATGCGATTGATAAATTTATTCTATTGTAATCACTAAATATATTTGGTAGAAGTACTGTTCCTTTTGTTTTTTAAAAAATATTTTTTCGTGGTAATTTATTATATTGATGAATATAAAAGTTTGATTTGACATTTTGTCTTTCTAAAAATTACTATTAAAAATATTAAATTTGGTAAATTAGCTTTAAAAATTCATTCGGAGTGGATTATATATGCATGATTAATATAAATATTTTTTAAGTGTGTCAAGTACTAAAGAGCTATATTTCTAGGGATGAAAAGCGCAATTAAGCCTAATTATTTCAACAGTACCCCTTATATACCACAATTATTTTGTTATATTCGAATTATCAGGAGATTGCATCACTGATTATGGAGTCTAAATGGCTCAATTACAAATGAAGGAATATAATAAATCTCGAATATAATGAATAAAACCCAAATAGGAGGAATTCTTGTCGTGGGACGAAAAAACTATAATGAGGAGTACTGTCAAAGAACAAAAAAACCGGCGTTAGCACTCCGACGAGGAAGTCAATTGTAATAGCGCTGATATATAAATATGCATATTAAGATAGAAATGTAGTAAAAACGAGTCTCCATGCATACATTAAGAATACTAGTGCGCCCCCTTTCTTCGTGCCTCAAGACTGTGTTTATATCATCGTAGGGGAGAGAATGTGAGTCATCCACACATTATGCATTTGGTCAGATCACACGTGAGAGTGATCATATAACTACTGCATGCAGTGCTTTTTGTCTGCATCTGAGGGCGATCTATCTCGTAACCCGTGGTCTGAGCCCGTTAGTGCGGACGACTCTGGTTATATCGTAAGTGGGTCTCTTCCCTATACATGTCATTGTGCTTACTTTCCCCCTTTATCTCTAATATTAGGGTTAAATGTAGTAACATTCTTCATCTATACTGAACCTGGACTCGTTTTGAACTTTGAATACGATTATTATTATTATTATTTAGACTTTAGGATACAATCAAATCCGTATCAAATTGGTATCAATATCAAGGTTGTGACCGTAGATTACCCAAATCAAAATTTGCGATTGTCTAAAATATTAATATATCAACGAAGATTTAATAATGTAACTATGTAAGAATTTGGTGATAAGTTTTGATAATGGTCATAATAAAGTATCGTTGACCATATACTGCACGAAAATTTCTAGAAAGGAATTTACACTCTTTCCATATATACTAGGATCTGATTTTTTTCTTTTTTTTTTTTTATAATCAGTTTCTTACTTAATATATATTCTCAATATCAATTTTGACTAATCAAAGTCAAACAAAACTTTACAAGACTGCCATATATAATATCAAAACAAATATCATATCATAAAAATATATCCACATCCCATTATTCTTGCCCATCTATATTTTTCATTTAAATTCTATATATGTATATATATATACACCCACACAAAAACACACACAAAAACACACACAAAAGTGAAAACCATGAGGAGAAGCAGTAGAATTCCAGCAGCACTGATACTTGTGATGGGATTTGCATTTCTGTGCAATCTCATGAGCACTTGTTCTTCCAACTATGTCCCGGGCTCCAACGACGACAAGGAAAACCTCGTTTTCTCGAAAGATGCCGCCGTCGCCACGTCACCAGTTGAAGATGGTCTGATGGAAGGAGTAGATAGTTCGTTTGGGAAGTATCATAGGAAACTGCAAATCTGTGTGTGCAGCTGTGCTTGCGGTTGCTCTGCTAGACAATGCGCTTTTTGCTGCATGGTCAAGAACAAAAATAAGAATAGCCCGATAACCGATTACTACCACCACTAGTACTACTACTGTGTGATTTTACGTGCGGTGCATGCAATTTGTAATTACGTAATAATAATGAATGATTCTTTTTAGCTATATATATATGTAGCTTATAAGGATTCATTCAAATTTCAAGGTTTTAATTTCATCGAGGGCGTGGGCCAATTATTATGCGTATAATTTATTTATATTTATCATGTTCAATGTGGAGTCTCATTATAATATAATGTAATTACTAATGATCAACAAAAAAAAAAAAATCAATGTGGAGTCTCATTATAATGTAATTACTAATGATCAACAAAAAAAAAAGTCAATGTGGAATCCAATTTGAAAATTTCAAGTTTCTTTTTATAAAGTTGAATTATGAAAAAGACTCCCATTTATATGTAATCATCAAAATCCCCACTTGACAAATGTTTACGTCTTACACCAGCCCCCTTTATGATGTGATTTTTCACCGAATTTTTTTTGTTCTAGGGAATATTCTCTGAAAAGATGTCGATTCTATCCCTAAGAACAGTCTCTTAAATATAGATGACATTGGTATAGATAGACCTCATTTCCAATGTCACTACATTTTCTCGATTGCTAGTATGACCATGCAATTTTTTAGGCATACGCGCATGGCTACCTTCAATCTGTTCTATGTTTATAAGGGCATGATCGACATTTTTTGGGCCCAGTTAATACTGAATTTGAATAAATACGATTTTGCCCTTGGGCTAGACCGGCCCAATTACAAGTTCAATGGTTTAATATAAATCCCCTAAAGCCCATTGGATACTTTCATCTCTCTTCCACTTGTACATTCACCTTCGAGACTTGTACTCCTGAGTGTATTTCAACGTGCTTGGATCATCAGTATATTATGGTTTTTGTTCCTTAATTCTGAAGAAAGTAAGCAGATTAAGATACGCAATTGAGAGACCAAAAACCCACATCAATCAATCATAGAAAAATATAATTGATTAATTTAGGGTTTGTTTGATCAGTACTTATTATTCGAGGGTTTTCTTCCCCAAATTTGTGAACCAGTCGAGCTGCCGTTTTCTCCTCTCGTCTGATTCCACTTGTACGTGTTCTCAATTTCCAATTTTCCTTTTCAGATGCGGTTTTTATTTTATTTTTTGATCGGAATTGTGTTGCGTTTTTTGAACCAGGTATACGCCGCGGCGGTGAATCGTGAATTGTGATGAGTTCCAATACGTTGCGGAGAAGACTCCACCGTGGAGATGTCGGTGGAGGAAGATACGATCGTTACGAGAATTCCGGAACCGATTCGCTGAACGAGCCATTGCTTGGAGATAGTGATTATGATTACAACAAACATTCCGAGGTACGTTTTTACTTGTTTCTGCGATATAACAAAAAATCATGAATCTTAGTTGACAGCTTGAAGTTTTGAATTTTCTACGTTTATTATTTGATTTTTATTTATGTATTTAATTATTTGTTTTGGGTATGGAAGGGGCAAGCACTCGAGGATATTTTGGATGATGAACGGAGTAAAGAGCGCCTGCATTGGATGCTGCTCTTTTCGAATGTAATTGCGCAGTGGGCGCAATGGTTAGGTCTGCATTTACTGTGATTATTATCTCTGTCGAATCCAAAAATTAGTGTTAATTCTCCAATTAATGAAGTAGCTATAATGAAGTATGTGTGCTTGACTTTTCCAATGTAGGAAATGCAGAGTATATGAAAAATAATATTGAAGTAAAAAAAAATCTAGAATTAAGAGAATAAGGGCGTTATTATTATTTGAAGGTGAATTCATGTGTGGTAGTTGGAGATATCACATAGTCGTGAAGATAAAAATACCAGGAGCATAACTCATTGGGAGAAATATAGTATGCATATTATATGTATTAATTATTTGATTAAAATGTTACATTCAATTAGTATTCAGTATGTTCATTGTTGATGTTTCCGGTACATGTAAATATAAATAAGTCAATTAATCATTGTCTTTTCATTTTCCAGCAAATATTGTCATCGGGCCTGGATCTTTGTTTGGACGAATTTTGCCATTTATTTCCGGCGGTCAAAATGGAATAAATAGCAACCTTCCACCTCTTTTACTTAGTTCCTTGCAGGTATTTTCCAGCAACTCCACTTACGTTTAAGAGAAGATGAATAATTGTTTTCTATTTTCTGTTGTTTTGCTAAGAAAATGTACAATCTAGTTGTAAGGAACTGTATGTATATGTTGCTATTTGCACTAACGTGAAGGATTATTTTTAACCTTGAAATGGCTTAGACACAATAGCTGAAAATAACCATATTGTGATAGGTTAAATGACTATATTTTGTGCAGGAATACTATTTTTTTACTCTGTTGGATTGCTACAAAGGGTTTCTACTCTTTTTACATTTTTCTGTAACTTTTGGCATATGCCAACCAACATTTGTCTTTGATTCTTGAGCTGGTTTTACAATAGGAAGCAAGGCTGAAATATCTAAAGCAGAGGCTTTCGGTTCCTTTTGACGGCACTTCTTCAGAGCATCAAGTATGTATTTGCCTCCATATTCCACACAAATACCCCCCACCACACACACACACACAAACTAAAAGCGAAATAGGGGCTTTTTGTACTGTCACCGTCTTATTTTGATGTATTTTTATTAGATTTTATTTGGGAAATACAAGTAGTGGATGATCACGTTTATGATATAGTTGCCAATATTATTATTTATTTACAAAGATTGTGTTTGAGTATCTTTATTCATGAACCTGTTATAATACTTTGTTGACAGGACGCGCTTAGACAACTTTGGAGGTTATCTTATCCCGATAGAGAACTCCCACCTCTTAAATCAGAAGTTTGGAAGGACATGGGTTGGCAGGGGTCCGACCCTTCAACAGATTTCAGGTAATGTAGTTATAAGTGATTAATTCGCCGATATACAAGTGTATTAATTGGTATTTATCTGGAAATTTATGATCAATTAATGTTCAGGGGTGGAGGATTCATATCATTGGAGAACCTAATCTTCTTTGCCAAGAAATTTCCGGTTCGTATTTTCCATTTTCCTTTATTTACACAACTTCTTATTAGATTTTTCCCTTTATTTCTCTCATTGAACTAACAACTATTTCCAGGTTTTAAATGAACATGCTTAGTTATGAAGTAATTGTATATATACACATATATGTATATTAGGAGGAGTTTTTAGGACATCTTGCTGTGTTATCTTTTAGATATAACATTTTCCCTTTTTTTTTTTTTTTTTTTTTTTTTTGCTGTTCACTTTGATAGGAGGCGTTTCAAAGCTTGTTGCACAAGAGAGATGGAGACAGGTCTGAATGGGAGTACCCCTTTGCTGTAGCTGGAATAAATATTTCTTTCACTCTGGTTCAAATGTTAGATCTTCAATCAGGTGCACAAGGATTTTGTTATTATTTTAGTTTTTTTCCCCATGGATTTAGAGATTGAATTTACTTCGATCGTCTCCGTTGATCAGTTTTGATAAGTTCAACTGCTTTTAGGAAATATGATTTGCTTGAATGATAATGGAGTTCTTGCCCCCCGTATTACAATCAGAACCTCTCTATTCTTCAATCTAACTTACGATTTAGCAGTATGTAGTGCCTCGTGCAAGTAGCACGGTATATTTGAAAATTAGACAGTTCAATGAATTAGGGAAATTTATTAGTAAAAGATCCAATTGCTTGTTACCGTAATATTTAGAACTGGAGAAAGAGCATTAAATTCTTAAATCACTTGTTCGAGATTTTGTTACAGGAATAGTAACTTTTTCGATGCTTGAAATATTTCTGCAGGGACACCTGGCACTCTGGCAGGACACCGCTTTCTGGAATTGCTAAGCCAAGATGAAATGGCTTTTGACAATCTTTTCTGTGTTGCTTTCAAATTATTGGACGCTCAGTGGCTTGCAAAGCGGGCTTCGTACATGGAATTTAATGTAAGAATATATTCTTATATTGAGTTTACGGACACTATTAAAATATTGGAAATAAAATTTATATTGAGAATCTAATTATTTTTTCTTTCTGTGCAGGATGTTCTCAAGTCGACAAGATCACAACTAGAGCGCGAGATGGCATTGGAAGATGTGTCGAGCGTGAGAGATTTGCCGGCTTATAATTTACTCAAAAGCTAATACTGATGGCCATAACACCGAATTTATTTTTTCTTGATGTATATGGCTCAACTGTTCTCTTCATACCAAAAATTGTAAATTTATTTTGTACAAGGTTGAAGCATTTTATTAGTATCATTAAGTAATAACAAATGACTTGAAGCCACTATTCATGCTCCTTCGAAGAAATTGTTGGGAATTATGCATCTGTACATACGCAGCGAAAATTTAAAATTTGTAATAGAATATGCGTGTTTTCAACATTACACGGTTCCATCGATTAACTAGAAAATGTCTCTTATCCAAGATTCACTTGCATACATCTTTTAATGGTAATTAACAACTAAACACAAGAGTTGAATGAAATGCAGGACAACTATATTAACCATGGTTAAGACAAAAAATTCCCCAATGCAAAGAACTTTCCAACTTGGGCAAAGCAATGATCAAAGGCATTCATAAATATGGTCAAAAAAACAATAAAAGGCAAAATTATAGAGCAATCTCATCACAATAGTTTATTATGCTTGAACACAATAATCATCTTCAAATATTTCTTCACGAGAAATCTTCGTTTCGAGCATGCCCAATGGTACCGGGTTCTTCGGCCGATTTAAGGTACCAACGCTGAAGACGGTCAGACGCTAATCTCACCTGTGCGTCCCAATCCGTTTTCCATGCCATGTAGCAAAGTGCAAGTGACTGACACAGAATTCCGATATTCATTCCGATCCATATTCCCTTCAAAACACAATAAAATAAATACCAATCTCAGAACCACCATTATTATAATACTCAAAAAAATAAAAAATAAAATCGTGTAAGAAAAAAAAATGTTTTAGATTTTATAGTTTGTGATGTTACCTTAACTTCAAGATTAGCGACATAACCGAGTAGAGCTCCGATCGGTATTCCGATCAAATAGTAGCAACAAAGGTTAATAACTGCAACCGTCCCTTGCAAACCTGCTCCAACTGCCACACCTGTTTTTTTTTTTACCAAGATTTTTTAAACCATATTAATATGGGAAAATGTGTACAAAGACGAGAAATAACAAAAGTAAAATAAACAGACCTGAAAGTACTGGATAAATGCTATTAAGCAAGACAGATACGGCAAGGAGAAACGATAGATCAGTTACAGTATTTGCAACTTCGACGTCGTTTGTGAATAAGTATCCGATTTTGTTGCCGAAGACCAAGCAAAGAATCGTGAAGAATATTCCAATCACAACCGAAGTTGTTATAAGGACTTTGATCGAATATCTCACGGCTTTAGCATCTCCTCTTCCCAGCTCATTCGCAATTCGTACACTAAGGGAAAAAGAAAAAGGCGGCTTTAATACAGCTGGAATAAAGAAATGACGAAAATAGGAAAACATATATTATTAATAATCGCATACCATGCAGCACCGAGGAATCCCAAGCAGATCATGAATTCCCAACCGTTGATATTAAGGCTGCAAAATTAAATTAAAAACTTATAAATCCAATTTGGATCGTGCTTATAGCGTATAATACAATTTTATAAAATAAATAAAATAAAAAAGCTTATAATTGCTAAACACTAACCAAATAGAAAAGGCGGATATGGAAACCTCGGCATTACTCATGTAGCCAGCCAATAAGACTAGTACAGAAT